GTTAATGATATCACGAAAATGCACACGCAGACACATGCGGGAATAGTTATAGGCCAGGCTCTCCGACTGGGAGGAATGAAAAAAATGGCGAGTAAATTCAGTAATAAAATTAGCGATATTCGTTAAATTCACGGCTTATTTTTTTTTTTATTTCTATTTCATCACTGCTGCGCTTTGGCGCTTTTTTTGTTGTGCTCAATGTATTTCTTGCCACCATTTGCATAATAGGAAATGTAGTAGAATCGGAGCCACAGCAGCAGATATGACACTTCCATTATTGCACCAACGATGAATCCTCGTAGTGTCACATCATAGTCATTGACTGTTGTTGTGAGTGCAAGTACGGCCAGATGGATCATCACGATATGCGTTATCACAAACTAAATTAACATGCTTGTAAATTATAAATAACCACATAACCACAAATTTTTAAGAAAAAGAATAACAGCATTTTCGACATGTTTTTTTCCCGTTAGATGAGTACTGGGGGTCATCACTTCGTTTTATTTGTTCAGCATATCAATTACTTTCAGTGACAACATCACAACCGTCGTACTGATGAAGTCCGTTTATGATGCAGAAAAGGAATGTATGCGATTTAATGGGTCGAATCGTTCCCCGACAGGTGCTTTTCCCCTCCTCTTTTACTACGTAATTTTTTTCTATAAGTTTTTATTTAATGAATTTTTCCGCTTACCGCTCTTTGCATTTATTTGTTATTTACTTTTTTATTGGTTTTTTTATAATTCCTATCTCTCTAATCACCCGAAAAATAAAGTATTATAAGAAATTATGAATATAAAGTTTATCGTCTAATTTGTATGGTCTCTTTTGACTTCAGACATAACCTCCATATTTCTACCCCACATTAAAATTCATGGATTATGACCGTTCCATATTTTCAGCTATTCGGATTGGCCGTTTACTTCAGAAATTACGGTTCGGCCTACCAAGAGCTGCAAATTATTTATCAATTTAATCCACTCTGGCTGCTTCACTTGGACCGTCCACTTATGATTCGGCCTTCTAATGGCCAATACTTATTGGTCCATAAAAAATTGTATAATACGAAATTAAAAAAAGTTCCTTCTGTCTCTTTCTACTCGCTACTAGTAAAAAGCGACACCCGTGAGTGTTCCGGGGTCAACAACAGCTACCCTAGGATTGCCAGCAAGCCGAATGATGCCGGATTTGTCTTTTTGGCATGCCCTAGTACCAATTTAATATTGAAATGAACGAAAAAAAAACAGTAAAGGAACTGTAGGTAAAACCCATTATTGAAAAATGACAAAAAAAAAACCTGAATGATTTGTCCAAACGTTATGAATTGCGCAATCTGTGGTGGGACGCGTATACGCAACGATCGTAGCATGTAATAGCTGAAAATTTTTTTCTTACAGTTACAATAACCAGATCCATCGCCCAGAAAATCACCAAGAGACCTTTCTTTCTATCAAAACACTTCGCAAAAATCAAAAAGCCATAAATTGAGTAAGAAATGGTACCTGTACATAAGTGAATGAACGACGAAATTCGGCCAAACAACCCAAATCATGTAAGCATTTCCAGTGCCATACGTGACAAAACCAAAATATCCGGTGAGTGCATGATGGTACCAGTGCATCACAATCAATGGCCGCTTCCGCAGCACAATAAATATCGTATCCAGAAGTTCTGGGATTTTTGAAATAACCCACAAAAAGGTCCAGTAACCAGCAACATTGTCCGTATAGCATGGTCCAATTTCAGTGAAACTACCTGGAATATGTAGTTGTTGCGCATTCCAGTAAAATGATGCTCATTTATTGGAGAGGAAGAATCCTGTTGGATGTACGGCTATTACCTGAGCGTATCTTAAATGTTCAGAAAATAAGTTATTTTTCGATTTTTGTTAAGAAAATAACAAGAGGAAACTAACTGGTATATCCTTTTGTGGTAATATGCTGCAGGAGGACTGGCGTTATTTTTGCAACACCAAGAATGCTAAAAATAGCAAGCAGTGCATTCCAGATGACCAGTGGCCGTTGCAGCTCATACGGCTTCCTGTCCCGCATAGCATATTTGATCAAAAATATGGTGACCACATAAGTGAACGAAATGTTCACCATCGTCCACTCCATTTCTGAAGCCCATTTTCGGGCGCTTTCGAAATCAAATTTCGAGCCAAAAATGAACTCCATCAATTCCGCTGCACTGCAATACAAAAAAAAAAATTATACGAAATCAAAGTTAACGTATTTAAAGGTAAGGTAGAAAATG